GGCGTCTGTGGCTTAAGCGTTATGAACGTGCTTTGTAATGTCGGGGTGCCTTGCGCTGGTTTCGACAGTGGTATCAAGAAGCCGACCACACAGAAAGCAATGGTATACTACTGGACGTAAACTTGCCTAGAAAAACCACAACAGCCAAAAAATGCTGGGGTTGGTTCTGCAACATCCTGTAAAGGATACGCAACTAACTAACTGTCTGTTTTTACCATCGTGAGGGTGGTGTCGAATGCAGAAGGGAAAGAAAGGCTTTGAGCTGGACAATTTAGGTGCACAAGGACCATGAACGGTGCAGACCAGGACCTTTTACTTTTGTGATGGATCAGCTCACGTGTTCATACATTATTTTGGCAGACTGTATAACTAACTCATGGCGGAAACATGGAGAACAACTAAGGCAATTACTAATAAATTACTGACATTCATTAACTGGTGCCTGCGTAGAATAGAGGGAATAAAATAGTATGATAGAATAACTAATGTAGAGTTTTGGGAGAGAACTAAACAGGCTCCAGTGGACCAAGAGGTGAGGAAAAGACGCTGGCGTTTGATAGGACACAAACTGAGAAAACAGGAGAACAGTATAACTAGAATGTCTTTGCGTTGGAACCCACAGGGGCATAGGAATAAAGGAAGACCCAAAAAACCACACGGAGAAGAGAGCTGGAGAATGAAGTTAGAAAGATGGGGAGGACATGGGGAGAGCTCCATGTAATGGGGAAGGATAGAATGACTTGGCTTGAGTTGGTTGAGGGCCTATGCTCCATTGGGGAATAGAAAGGTAGAAGAAGAATAACTAACTCAAGTTAAAATAAATGTCAGCTGTTGGCAAGGGCTGTATACAAAAATGTGACAGTAAAACCATAAAACCACCCTAAAGTAACTTACTTATTTTTGTTTAAAAATGCTTTCAATACTATATCTGAAATTTGGCGGTGCTCTCTAAAAACAGAGCCAGGGTCACACAATTTAAAAAGTGCGAGGAATATACTGACAAAATACAAACTTGCCCTATATTTGCTAGTCAACCCAGCAGCTGGAACATGAAAACATGACACAATATCCTGTACAAACTGCTGGCCAGAACATGTGATACCTCCCAGCTAAATGAACACATCTCTTGGTTTGGCCAAAAAAATATGACTCACCCCACCTGGCCAACTGTTAGCTAACATAGAACTGATGATATGGTTATAATATCAGATTTGATCTAGAATGTGTTATGATGCATGCATGTGTGGTCAAATGAGAAGAGTCTAGAATAACTCTTGGAAGACACATTTAAAAAAAAAAGGGGGGGGGGGATGAAGCTTTAAAAAAAATTAAAAGTAAATAAACCTGCTTTCATAAAATTCAATAAAGCTGTAAATCTCACACTGATCTTCACACACAAACTACAGGAGGCCTTGAACAAACTGCATCTCTCTCATACTGTTAACATTTACTCTATCATACTTGGGAGCTGCGCGTCCAATGTGCATGACTGCTCTGGCCAATTGTCACAGATCAAAATCTCCATCAAGGAAAACTGTTTAAACTTTCAAGATCCACCTGGCTCTAAAAATGGCTTACAAGACTATTAGATTAATGAGCTAAAGAATTAAGATACTATTCCAGATCATTCAAGATAACATTCAGAATAAAACTGGCACACAAGTAAATGAATAACAGGTTAGGAGTGTAGCAGAAACAGACAATAATTCATTTTAAAATGGCGACTAACAAAATGTTTAGAAGTTCATATACATGTTTATGTATGTTTTATAGAAGTTCAGATACATACTTATTATGTTTTGTAGAAGTTCAGATAGATATTTATGTATGTTTTATAGAAGTTCAGATAATACTTTTGTCTGTTTTATAGACAACAAGACAAAAATGTCTCTGTGGGTGTTATATGAACAAGAAATGCTAAATATAACACACAAAATGTGACTAAAAAGCTCAACAGAGAGAATGGAAAAGACTCACACAAACACAGCCAAATGTTTTGACCGAAGTCTTTATCAAGGAAGTACTAAATACAGCAAAGTGTGAACAACTAAGATCAGTTAGTTCCCCTAACCAAATCTCAAGTAATTACAATTATGTCTTTCTTCTTCTTCTTCTTCATGTTCACCAGCTGTGAATTCCAGCGGTAAGTCGCGGTTGTTCGTCCAAATGGACTTTTGGCTTTTACCTTGACCTGAGTTTTGCGTGTACATCCTTTCTGTCACTGGTATTTGTTATTTCAAGCTGACAAGTGTCTTGCTCAGAAATTAAGTCTGGAAATGAAATAGTAGCAAAAGTAGCAGAGTTCTTCAGAGCAATAACAGCCTAGAAAAACAAGATTTATAGCTAGGGTTCACATAGTGCAGGTTAGAGAAGTGTTATACACAGCAGTTGAAACCAACTACACTCAAACTACTATGCTAAAGTCATCCATACATTTATGGAACAATCACACATCATAGTCATCCATAAAGTGGTATATTAAGAAACATTAATACACTATACTGATGTTACCCATACAGTGGTATATTATGAAACACTCACACATCACACTGGTCATCCATAAAGTGGTACGAAACATTCATACATCACACTGATGTCATCCATACAGTGGTATATTATGAAACACTCACACATCACACTGGTCATCCATAAAGTGATATGAAACATTCATACATCACACTGATGTCATTCATACAGTGGTATATTATGAAACACTCACACATCACACTGGTCATCCAAAAAGTGATATGAAACATTTACACATCACACTGATGTTATCCGTATAGTGGTATATTATGAAACAACTATACATCACACTGAAAAAACCATATTGTGGTATATTATGATACAAATACCCATCAAACTACCTCTCAAATCATCCATACAGCGGTTTATTATGAAACAACCGCAGAAGACAATACCACACATCATCCAGACAGTGGCATATATGAAAGGACTAGTACTTTCAATTCATCATTTGAAAACTTCAACGAGAAACAAAACAAAAGATACACAAGCAAGCAAACCTAGCAGCATTAGAAGTGGAAGTCAATGTTGATTACATGCTAAGTTGCCCTATTGAGTGCTATGTTGGAGAAAGAACGTCCAAACTGAATGCTGGAATCATAAATTCTGTTTGAATCAAAGCGGAAAATGCAGCTGTTTGGGGATATTTTAACACAAACAAAAACATATATACACAATACATTTCATGTTTTGGAAACATAATAAATACAGTATCATCCAGTCAGTGTAACAGCACTGTTGTGCATCACAAAGCACTAATGCGTGCAACATATTTATACATGACCACAAACAGAGCAGCAATTTTTTTAAACATATTTTATATTTGAAAACATGAGTTCCTCCCCCACGATGCTCAATGGCAAAAATGGAAATTGAATTTGATGATAATGATGAAATATGAGTTGTCCTCTAAAACTACTTTGAAACTGCCAAGATGAGCCCTCTGTTTAATACGGTGAGAGGAACACATGTTCCCTTGAATGATATATACAGAATATAATCAACAATACACATACGTATTAGTTCAACCATGGTTGCCAGTGTGGTTAAACAATGCTCACGGACACCACAAAATTTCTGACTGGGTTGACGACTACAACCACCTAACATTCTGCAGTGATGACGGAAATAAACACCCATTAATTCTGTCGTTATGGCAAATACCACCGCAGCGGTAGACGCAAATTAAACTGGAGACTGTACATCTAGTTACACACGTGAAACATGACCGAAAATTAACACGATAAAAATAAACACTGTTCTGTACAAACTCTGTAAAAGAAATATTTTTAAAACATAACAAGAGACATCTAAAAAAAATCTGATTTAAATCCCACAGCCATTGTCATTTGTCACGCGGACAGCATTAACATGATGAAAAGTGACGATAATCAAAATAACAACCGTTAACATTTTAAATATGGCAGTGTGAGCCATGTTCTCTCTAAGATGTGCCAGTGAAAACTTGCAAACACACTTTTAGGTCTGCACGGGCGCAAACATATTTAAACTTGCACTGTTGTAAATATTGTTAGACGTGCACTGCGGCACATATATCAGGCTTGCACTGGCGCAACAATTTTTAGACGTGCACTGGCGCAACAATTTTTAGACGTGCACTGGGGCACAACAATTTTTAGACGTGCACTGGGGCACAACAATTTTTAGATGTGCACTGGGGCACATATTTTTTAGCTCTTATGAACATATTTAGTCTCAAGAAGATGATATATTGACGAAACTGATGCAATGTCTTGCTCACAACTTAAATTTTAGTATCTTGGAGCAGAATAAGTTTGTTCACAACACTCTACAACTTAGAGGGAGCACTGTTTGTGAGTACTAATGTCAGCTTCACAGTTACATTTATTGACAAGGAGTTGAATCTTATAATGTATGGTCAAGTGCCAATAGACATCAAGTCCAGCAGCACAGGAGATGACCGCACACATTTCGCTGATTACATTAAACACAAGAATGCAATCCATGTAAATCTGATAAACTAGCACTCAGCGCAAACACCGAAGGTAATTATGATCTACCACTATTATGGTAATAAAGTGGCAAGGAAAGGAGTGGGTGGCAAGGAAAAGGAGTAGGGATTAAGGAAAGGAGTGGTGACAAGGAAGAGAGGTCAAGAATTGAGTGGGGGGGAGGAAGGGAGTAGGGGGTAAGGAAGCAAGTGTGGCAAGAAAGGAAGCAGGGCAAGGAGGGATTGAGGGCAAGCAAGGCCGAGGGGTGGGTGGGGGCGTGGATGGGGGTGGGACAAAGAAGGAACTGAGGGCAAGGATGGAAGAGGTGGGGCAAGAAGGAGGGGTGTGGGGGCGCAATCACAAGCTGATCATGATGAAAGATGACACATATTTAACACAAATGATGTTAGCTGCAAGTTTCATTCGACACAGCAGAAACATTTTCTCATCACAGATCGATAGGTCTACTGGGCTCAACAAAATTCTACTACTGGTTGGCCTCTAGTCCACAGTAATATCCCTTTCCCTTTTTATCTCCAAGCTCAAGGGCTGCTTCTGGCTTGTCGTGCCCGCTTCTCTGCTGGGTGAGGTGCCCAACGTCATCCTCAAACAGGGTGATTTCACAGTTTTGCCAACACCATTTGAATATTTGGAAGATTTTGACTTTTCTGACATGCTTGCTAATTCTAGGCGAAGGGCTCTGTTCTCACTGTAGGCTTCCTGGTAAAGAGACTCCATGCTCCGCAGCTGTTTCTCCAGCTCCATGTCAATCTGTGAATAGAAGACACATGGCTCTCAGAAATATTAACCAAACAAAACAAAAAAAAAACTGCCTGTGTGCTTATTGTGAACAATGATAGTTAAATAGGGGGCTGCGTGGTCCCGAGGTATGGTGTCTGCCTCAAGTGCTAGAGGTTCCGAGTTCAATTTCCGGCAAGGGCTGGGATTTTTTCACGCATACTTAGACTTCTAGTAATTCCCCCTGGTCTCTGGGTAGTGGGATCAGATGCCCGTGTCCTTTGCTGCATACGTTAAAAAAATAAAAATCCCTTGGCAGTTGGAAATCGAAAATAGTAGTCTAATGGCGCTGCCGGGGCATAAATTTGGAGTTTAAAATCTGTCCAAAGTATTTCAGCATCCTCGCCAGTGATACAGAGCCTGTGAACTGTACTGAGGTTCTTCGGACTCAGACTTGAGTTAGAAGAAGAACGAAGCACTTATGGGTTACTACCCATGTGCCATGTTGAACCATTGTTCTAACAACAATGACAGTTAAATATTCTTCTTCTTTCATCTTTAGACATGGGCAGGTTTTTTTCTCTTCTTATATTTTACAGTTGTCCCACATGACCTCCTGATCTTTTCTCATAAATCTTAGTCTTTCTGAGACACTTCATTGTTAATCACCTTCTTCTTCATTCACCGGCTGGTAAGTTCTGGTTGTTCATCTCTGGACTGTAGTCTTGTTACAGAACCTGAGTGTTGCATGTACATCTGCTTAAAAAATCTGGCTTATTTGTAGAGACTCTTGGTTCCTTGCCATCTGGGCAGATGCACTCCGACTTCTAAGAATGCCCCCAATTAGTTTGACTTCGACAACATGCTTGTTGGGGAGGCAATGGGTCTATTTTTGTTTTCCTAACATATGTCCAGTCTATTCTTTGCTTCTATTAGAGGCACTGCATACAGACGGTTGAACTACTGTAGATATATATTTATATTTATGACGGTAATCCTGGGAAGAGGGGAAGAGGAAGGCCAAAGAGAAGATGGGTGAAGGATGTGGAAGATGATCTCTAGATGGGTGTATTGACATGGGAAATCTTGCTTGTGATCGAGAAGTTTTCCGGAGGGTTGTTATGGGAGTAAGGTTCTACAAAGGACTGCTACTGACTGACTGACTGAATCAACTCACCTTTCTATGAATCTGTGACTGACTGACTGACTGAATCAACTCACCTTTCTATGAATCTGTGACTGACTGACTGACTGAATCAACTCATCTTTCTATGAATCTGTGACTGACTGACTGAATCAACTCACCTTGTTATGAATCTGTGACTGACTGACTGAATCAACTCACCTTGTTATGAATCTGCGACTGACTGACTGACTGAATCAACTCACCTTGTTATGAATCTGTGACTGACTGACTGACTGAATTAACTCACCTTGTTATGAATCTGTGACTGCTGCTTCTGGGAAGTAACCTCTTTCAGGGCGTACTCCTTTTCCAAAGTCAAATTCCTTCTTTCCAATTCTGATTTGGAAACTAATTCGCCCAACTCCAAGTTCTGCCTCCGAACTGCTTCAAGTTCCTAAAGAAATCAGGTGGAAATCTAATTACACAGTGTTTTTTTATTAAGTGTATCTAATAATAATTATCCTCTAAAGTTTTTGTTTTTTTTAAATCAGTGTATGCAAGAACTTCTGTATTTGAATATTCTGTTCCCATGAAGTTAAAACATGTTTTTTTTTCTATCTACACATATCTCACAGACCATTTAAGAATCAGTAAAAAGCAAATGGTGGCTGAACTCACATTTGCCCGGTAAATTCTTAAAATCTGCACATCAAGGAGAGGGAAATTGTGCAAGATTAGAACATGGGAACAGAAACACAAAAATGTGTTACTTAAAACTATCTTGCCTTTGAAGCTATAATACTCTATCTAGCCACATCAGATGCTACAGACAGGCAGACAGATAAGGAAAGACAGAGGGAGAGACCATGATGGAGGAAGATGGAGAGAGTGAAGGAAGGAGGCAGTGAGCTAGGAAGGGGACAGGGGAGGAAAGGAAGGGGGAGGGAGGGAGGGATGGAGAGAGAGAGAGAGAGAGAGAGAGAGGGGGAGGGAGGGAGAGAGAGAGAGAGAGAGAGAGAGAGAGAGAGATTATAAATGGCATTTCTTACATTCTTGAGTGTTCCAATTTCCCGCAGCAACCACTGCACTGTCTCTTCCGTCTTGGCTCTCATTTTGGAGTAATCCTGAAGAAAGCGGGTTTGAGCCTCTGGGGCCGGATCCACTTTACCTTCAAGTACAGTGCGTATCATGTCCATCTCCTGCTCTAGTGTGCTCTCATATATGGGCAGGTCCGAGAGATGTGTGTCTCGACAACCTGCAGCATCAAAAGATCACATGTAATGACATCAATTTATAGCTGTCTATCACATGACTGTTCTAAAATGTTATTCACCATCATCAAGTGCCATGCATGGGCCAGCATGAATCTCCACAACCTGCGATTATCACGTCATGCTTCTATACCATTCTATTCTTTTGTCTATCTCTCGACAAATCTTTCTAGTGGTCACATGTTCCAGTTTCCTCTTTGCTCATAACATAGCCAAACAATCATGACTATCTTCTTCTGATGTTTGTCTTTAAGCATCAGGTTACTTATTCTGCCTGTCAAAAGAATTTAAGGCATTGTTCTGGTGAATATTTGACACACAAAAACAAAAACACATACAGTATAATGGCTCCCTGTGTGGGTTCCGGGACCCCATTGTGGAAGAGTTGACGAATTGGGTGCTTCATTTGAAGTCAGAGTGCCTGAGGGGTAAAGAACCAACAATCTGCATAAAATTAAGTCAGATCTATAAAACAGATGTGCACACAATAGTTAAGTTTTGGAACAAGACTAATGACCAGAGGTGGGCGAACAACCAGAACTTTCTGCCAGAGTTCACAGCCGTTGAGCGTGAAGATGAAGAAGAATACAATGGCTAGCAAACTCAACAACTGTACGTCTGCCTTATTCTCTTCTCTCCAGCCTACTACCTGATGATCTGACCACCTTTGCGACTTCAAGACCTACATTCTGGGTGGCAAACAAACATAGCTTTACTTATGCTTAAGGACTGTAAACACTTTCACAATCCTCACCTACCCAGGTTTTATAGTGAGCCGCAGGAAATTTGCTTACAGACCATTTTGCCTTAATTCTGATAAGGAGGTGGGCATCATACCAGTCAGAAAGCAATGGCAAACAACTAAAAGTAAAAATTGCTTAGAAAACCCCAAACAGCCAATAAATGCTGGGGTTGGTTTCTTTGTGACATTTTAAAAAGGAGAGACAATAATTTTCGGTAATCATAAATTATTATTCTAGATGTCTTTACCAGTTTTATTTTTTTTTAAATAGGATCTATATCCTGGTCTTTTATGATCTGTACTTTTTCTTTTCTTTACTTAAAATCGATTGTCTTATCTACAATGTAAATTTTTTTTAAAATATGAATTTTGACATACTTGTTCAGGAGGCAGTCAGTCTATTTTTGTTTCCCCCACCATAGGGCCCCATAACCTACATGGTGATGTCTGAAAAACCATGAGAATGATTTTTTTAAACCGCCCACCATGAAGATGAACACAAGTACTCGCAAAAATCACACAAAGATGAATGGAAATAGATGATTTCTGCAGCAATGAACCTCAAAGAAAAGGCTTAGGAGGATCTTCAAACAGTAAGATAGTTAGGTGTGAATCCTTTATAGGACGTTGCAGAACCGACCCAGCATTTTTTGGCTGTGGTGGTTTGTCTAGGCAAATTTTACATTCAGTAGTTTGCCACCGCCCTTCTGAACGGTCAGCTTTTGGTAAAGTAAGTCCCAAAAAAAAGTTAACAGATTCAGCTGAAAACAAATACAAGCAAACTCACTCTCTGTTGGAGAAGCCATGCTAGAATCATCGGTGTCTGTGGCTATATCATATTCTATTGTCTCCCTATGGTCTGCTTCAAACTTGGATATCCCAGGCAAAGGTTTCCGAACTGGTGTTTCTGAACTGAAGCATTCATCAGCACTCATTACAGATGATGGCACTGCTTTCACATCAGTGTCTTCAATTTCATCGTCAGGAGATCCCTTTTGGCTGAATGAGGGTGCCAAAGAAACATTTGGGGTAAAGTGCCGCTCGTATCTGAAAATATAAAATTATAACCATACATTAACACTCTATGACTTATAACTGTAGATAATTTAACACTCTTTCTGACCAAGAAGTTGTCCAATGGAACAAAAACCACAGCGAAAAAGAATGACTTTCAAACTAGAAACATATGTGCTGCCTATTTAAAACTTCTAACCAGAATGCTTTAGCATGCTCAAAGCAAATGTAAAAGATACAACTATGCAACATCAGCTGATACACATGAGAGGTTTCTTGGGCCAGAAAAAGGTTAATTATTATACAGTTCATGATTCTGCTAATTAAAAAAAAAACATTTGCCTGAGGAAGAATGAATTATGAATAATAAACAACGAACACCATGGCTTATTTAAAACATGAGAGAAAGTTGCATTTGTATAAATAAATAAAAGTTAATTCATTGTCTCCAAAACAATGAAATCATCATTGGTGTTAGTTACCTGAAAAGGGGTCACTATGACAGCACTTGAAGTGCTCCAGTATTGAGTGATTCTGGTCACTATGACAGCACTTGAAGTGCTCCAGTATTGAGTGGATTCTGTGGCAGTTTGTGTTTATGGCTACTGAGGTCAGCCTGAATGTGAGATATATACAAGTATCAACCACTATCATAACTTCAGCTGGCCAAGGAAGGTATATGATTTGTGTTGTGAGTGATTCTTACGATACTTATTTCCTCCCCCCACATTCTGTCTCTCTTTCTGAGAGGGAAGGAAGGAAAGAGAGGGGACAGGCAGAGAGCAAGACACAGAAAAGTTAGTTAGATGGACAGCTACATCAAGTGCCGCATGCAACAATCAAACAATGAGAAAAATACAACAGGAAAAGGAGAGGGAACATGAGAAGTTGGAGTAACAAAGCGGATAAAAAGTACAATAAACAAGAATAAATGAACTGGAAGGAAAAGGGGCCAGATGATAAAGAGGCGAAAGATAACACAAACAAAACCAGATAAAACACACATTCATTTATTGTCCTGTTGTGCGAATATCATGGTACATAGGGCTCGCAGTCTCTTCCGTAAAATCCTGTTAATCAGTTCAATATCTTGCATGGAATCCACTCCAGCAGCTTTGGCCTCTCTTATCAATGTTCGTTTGAGGGTTTCTTATAGGCGTCCTCCACTTCCTAATCCGTTTATTTCCCATTCCAATGCCTGTTTGGAGATTCTCTACTGGCTTCTTCTCAGGATGTGTCCAATACAGTCACACATTCACTAGCATATATTTATTTCACAATATACAGGGTCTTATAAAATGTACACTGATGATATATAACTCGGGTATCCTTTTAAACATTATATAAAGTAATGACTACTCGGTAAGAGCAAGATACAAAGACATTTCAACAGTTATCTCCCACAAATTTCTAGAAAACAGACACATGTGCAATTGCCATCTTTTCCCCCCTCCCCTCTCATTCCAAAACGCTTGCCAACTTTTAACAGACTCGCTACACTCAATGATTGTGCCACTCCGTTTTGGCCTGCATTCGGTTCTAACCTTCACATGCAAAACTCATTACACACTGCTGCAATGTGTGAATTATATCCCAAACGTGAGCCAGAACGTCCACCATCTTCGTGTTTGACTTGAGTTTGTGTACATATCTTGTCATCCCTTTGTGGGATTCAATTTTTATTTAATTTTGAAGCACTACCCTGGGTCTTGCCAGGAGCTGCAATATAGCACGGCCATAAATATGGTCTAAAGGCTGAACGCGGTTTCTGGGACCTCTTCATGGGTGATCTTCATCCACATGGTGGCACTTTGTGTCATAGGGTGTTTATCGCTTGTGTTATGTCCTGGTGGGGTAAAAGAAGATAAGAGTTTGTGTACAGTAGTCGTCGTCATGTAGAAAGCAATTTTCTTGAAGCCGCCTCACCCCCCTCCCACCATCTCCGGCTTAAGCCGGGGGCGCTGATAAGGCCGAAAGTGGTTTTGGGGACCTCTCCACGGGTGATCCTCGCCCACATGGTGGCACTTTGTGTCACCGGGTGTTTATCGCTTGTGATTCCTGGTGGGGTACCCACAAAAAAAGTTTGTGTATGCACAAATAGTGAAAATAAAATATAAAACAGATTGCGCCAGTTGCATCAGGTATATAGTGCGTGACCCATATCTTTATAAATTGGCTGCGACTGGATAGGTATGTGGCCTTTATTTCCTACGACATTTTCAGGTATCTATGTTAGGGTGGGTCGGCCTGGCAGCCTATGCAATTTTTATAAACTCAGGGTGTCCATGGGGGGGGGGGGGGGGGGGGGGGGGGGGGGGGTCGAATTTTTTCATGTCAAAATTGTGCATGCAGGGCCGTCTTGCATTCGGCCCTATAAGAGACTTATCTTTTACACACATCAATTGCATTTTCATCTACGAGGCATTCTATGTTCACATAGCAAAATAATACTACAGGCATAATATGTTCACATAGCAAAATAATTATTTGTTGCTTTCGTTTTTATTCACCCCAAACAGACAATTCAATATTTCAGGGGGTGGTAGATAGGCTGCATGCAGTCGTGGAACCTAGGCTTCACTCTCTCGTGTGACGTAGGTGGGTTGGGGTTAGGGCCAGTTCTATGTGTTTTGGAGTAGTTAAAAGCACCACTAAGCCGGGAACCCCGTTCTTACCACCCTATGAAATATTAGACTGCCCCCGTGACGTCTTCTGGGGGAGACATTACGAAATAATACTCCAGGCATGCTATGTTCACTTAACAAAATAATGGAGGGACGGAAAGAGAGAACGACTATATAAAAGAATGACATCAACATCCTGAACACATACACACTTTAAAGATATTAACCCTCAACTCACAACCAAAAGATGACAACCTATATTCTTTCGACACGTTTTGAGTGGAGGAAACATGACAGTTTTAGGACAAGAGATGCAGACGGAGACCAAGCCCGGTGTTGCCGTTTTGGATGTTTTACATTTAGATTTAGATATTTTCCCTTGCATTTAGATGGCGTTTAGATTCTAGATGTTTTCATATAGAGTAAGTTTATCGTATCTAACCTAAGAAACAGGATGAAATTTTACCTGTTAAATGCTATCTTGACAATACAATTTGGCCTAATAAGAGTAAGAAAAGGCTGTTCGACTTATGCCCTGATGGGGTATTAGAAGAAATTGGAACAGTTAAAGCATACCAGTAATTTTAGATCTGAAGCTTCTACTTCATCATGCAAGCTAAGTTTATCCTGTGGATCCTGTAAGGCAGACTTCGGTAAAGGTGAGGACATGGTTCTTTAGGGTAAGTCATATCAATTGCTATGTAATTTGTGACTTTTTCTATTTAGATGTTTTTTCTAGATGTTTTCCCCCCACGCAATTTTAGATGTTTTTAGATTTTTTTTGGCTCCGTTTTGGACGTTTTTGTCAAAGAAAAGTGGAAACACTGACCAAGCCAGCTCACCATAACAGATGGAAGATCATCACACGTTCGATGCGCTAAAAGGTGAACATGGTCCTTTATTTAAATTATTTTTTTTCAAAAGAAATTTACATTTAATTACTATCGTTTTTGTGAGACACGAACCAGATACACTGACACGACGACGCCCGTGTGTACAAGTGAGAAGATACCAAGACATAGACCATCAACGTAGGTCAGAGTGTATACAACGGAGGAGAAATGGGGTGGGAGAGTGTATGTGTGCTGGAGATCCATTGCCGCTAACCTTCACTGTGGAGACGACATATTGATTGGGCGTGCAGTTTCACCAACGGCACCATACCCACACCCAAACGCACAACAGAATCCAGGACAGCTAGCAGACGAAAGTAGGTCGCGTTCGGCCCCAGCTCTGTCCCTGGCTCCATCCTGCATTACTGATGTCAAGCTGTTCGGAATTCCCTCAACTAAGATGCTCAAATCTCGTTAGAGGATACACGAGACTGACAAATGGCACGGTTTAAGTGGCCAGTCAATGCGGCCGAGTTTAGCAGTTATGTGCCAACTTTGTTTTTCTTTCTTTCTTTTCTTGCTGTGTTAAATTCAACGACGTCGAATGTCGCACTTCAAGAATTCGTTGTTAATGGATTTGGAACAATGCGGGCAAAGGGATGTGGGGAGTGTGTGTGTGTGTAAGAGGTAGGAATTGGGAATAAGTACATAAAGGATCCATTCAGAGACTAGTTACTCTGTACAGTGCATTATACCTGCATGCATTACCTAGCTACGGTGTGCGTGGCTTAGGCATTGCGAGTCCGACTCGTAATTCCAGCGTACCGCGAAGGACACCCACTGCTGTCTGCGTGGATTTTGTATCGTGTTATGAGGCGTTGCAGGTCGACCCAGCCTAAAATGGGTACCAGAATATACGTCCTGGGGAAGTAAAAACGGCCGGCGTGCTGTTGACCACATTACCCACCGAATGCAGATGGACTGTAAAAAATATGTGCGCTCTTCCCATATACCCGATACGCGTGAAAGGGGATCTTTACTTTACATTTATGACATTATCTAGCTGGCACGCCAACCCATTATATCCGAATGTCTAAAATAACTTACTCTGATTTACTGCTGTGTTATTCATTCCTACTGGGACCCACGGGCATCTCACTTTTAGCAACAAATGTTTAGAACACAACAGACTGAATTAATGCCTGGACGCGACTGAAAGAGTTAACGCCCGTGCTCTCAGAACGGAGAGTTAGAATTCGGACTCCATCCTTGACTTCGCGAGCACACGTGTTTGGGATCATCCTTGGGGGTTGTTGTAGCTACCGGTGTCTACTGTATGCACGTTGTCGAGGCAACCGCCCGCCTAACAGAGAGAATAAGTCGAATAGGATAAAACCCGGCGCAATAAGGCCGATCCTCTCGCCTTTCAACACCCCTTAAGTGCATTTTGGCACATTGGGTTAGCCCTGTGTAGCTAGCCAACTAGTGAGCCGCGAAAAAGGTTATGCTTAATTATGCATCGAGGTAGGGGTAGGTGGTTCTTCTCTCCTAATTTGTAGGATTTCCATCTCAAGAA